AATTACTGGACTCAAACCACTTAGCTTCATCTTCGCTTCCTCTGGCCAGTCCAACTCCCCAAAGGCAATCTGCCAAAATCCAGTTTGGCCAGAAGTCAGTTTACCCAAATGGGCAATTTGTCACACTCCGTTTTCCCACAGGCATTTGGCAGCCCTCACTGGGGGATGGATTCCAGTACTCAGACGAACGCATTGCTCGGTGTTTAAAAATGAGTCTATCCAATTTATTCATTTGTTTATCACATAAAACATTTTCCCAGAAGATGTACAGACTCTTTCTTAACAGAAGCAAGAATTTTCACAAGCTCTGTCCTCACTGTGCCAATTTGACAAAATCCAGGGCGGGCAGCCTGCTAACTAAACAGGGTGTTGATGGAAAAATAGAACTCCATGCGGCTCAAACAGCTCACGCTAAAGGAACAGCTGAGCTGGGCGGCAAAGGCCTGTAATCTCAGGGCTCCGGCAGCCTGGCCGGAGGGTGATGAGCTCAAAGCCACCTCAGCTGCAAAGAGAAACTTTATCTCCCAAACCAAAAACAAAGAGCAGCCTAAATCCTGAACAACCTTCCCACAAGGCCATTTCCCATTACAAATGTGTGTCACACAGTCATGTGTGCAATGTTCCCAGTACAGAGGAAACCATAGACTACACAGAGGGCGAGTATATATGTGTGCGTGCGTGCGTGCGTGCGTGCGTGCGTGCGTGCGTGCATGTGTCTGTCTGTCTCTCTGTGTATCTATGTGCCTGTGTGAGTGTGTGGTGCATGTCTGTATGTGTGTGACAGTGTGACTGTGTTTCTGTCTGTGGGACTGTGTGGTGCATGTCTGTATGTGTGTGACTGTGTGTCTGTCTGTGGGATTGTGTGGTGCATGTCTGTATGTGTGTGTGACAGTGTGACTGTGTCTGTCGGTGGGACTGTGTGGTGCATGTCTGTATGTGTTTGACTGTGTGACTGTGTCTGTCTCTGGGACTGTGTGGTGCGTGTCTGTATGTGTGTGACAGTGTGACTGTGTGATGCGTGTCTGTATGTGTGTGACTGTGTGACTGTGTCTGTCTCTGGGACTGTGTGGTGCATGTCTGTATGTGTGTGACAGTATGTCTGAGGGACTGTGTGGTGCGTGTCTATCTGTGTGTGGCAGTGTGACTGTGTCTGTCTGTGGGACTGTGTGGTGCGTGTCTGTATGTGTGTGACAGTGTGACTGTGTGATGCGTGTCTGTATGTGTGTGACTGTGTCTGTCTGTGGGACTGTGTGGTGCGCGTCTGTATGTGTGTGGCAGTGTGACTGTGTCTGTCTGAGGGACATCAGGTGTCTTCCTCTGCCTGTCACTGTCTCCCTGATAGTCTTGAAACAGGGTTTCTCACTGAATACCAAGCACCCCTGGCCCCACCCCCAACCTCTGTCACAGACTGCCTGGCCAGGGAGCACTTGGGATCTGCTCATCTTCAGCTACATACTACATTCAAGGCTAGCCTGAGCTACGTGAGATCCTGTCTCAAAAAAAAAAAAAAAAAAAAAAAGCAAAGCCAATAAAACAAAACAAAAGAGGAAGAACAAGGAGAAACAAATGGAGGACTTAAAATCCCTATTTTCCCAGTAAATATTTGTTCAGAAAACCTTAATTTAAAAAACAATTAGACTTGGAAGAGGTGGAAAGGTGGGTGGGTTGGGGGGTGGGAGGAGGGAGGGGAGGGG